CCATCTTCCAGCCGCTTACTCGCCGCCTCACCGCTCCACCAGTCTTTGACACTCCAACAACCCCCTCGACGGGGGAGGGTGCCCCCTACCCTCTAAGGTAGGTACCCATTCATCTACTTGCGCATAGGTGTTAATCGGCGCTTTCGAACCGCTGGGTTGACGGGAGCTGGGACGAGGGCCAGTTGCTCACACTGGCCGCGGTGGGAATCGAACAGCTGTAACAGCTGTTCAAGGATGTTACTGGCAGGCGTTTAACCACCTGCGCCACCGCTCCCTCCCTTAACGGTATATTGGGCCTCAGTTGTCCATAACTGAACTTTTCTCCACAGACTGGCTGCTAACAATTGTCTAGCTGCTACCTCATAGGAAATTTACTAAGTTTGTTATAGACTTAATTAATTGGGATGGGGTATTGAGTGTACTAATTGATTGTTTATTTCTTTGTCAATTCATGGATTAATTTGATTGTATTAACTGCCCAGATATGGTAAATTGATTAATTAATTGATTTGGTATATGACTAACTAATTAATTAAGAGGTTATACTCGAATAGCTTGAAGTAAAATTGCCACCAAGATTTATTAGCATTTATTTAAATTACTGGCTAAACAGAATGGAAATGTATTTTTTAAAAAAACAGGCAATCATAGGCTATTAGGACAAATTATATGGGCTTGTAAGGGAACTGATATAGAGTGCAAATTTAATGAGAGGGCAAATTTAAAATTAGTAATTGATCGATTGGTAGCTAATAGTTGCTGTTATATAGGGTATTACTAATATCAGTCAATATAGCTGATTGGTCAGAAGCCTTAGTTGGTCTGAGGCTTGCGAAGATCACTGGGTGCAGTGATGACTGGGCAGGGGATTCCAGTGCTCCTGGGTAGGGGGAAGTATAGCGGTGGGACCAGGCATGGTAATAAGGGAAAGGGATGGAGAAGCAGAGTAGCTCGGCCCCCTTCCAGCCTGCGTCCCATCCCAAAGGTGGTAGGCAGTGGGGCGAGGATAAATGACCCCTCTCCGACATTGGCATTGTGTAACACCAGGTCTACAAATAATAAGACCAGGTCTACAAATAATAATGGTCCTTAGGGACTTCCTGCTTGAGCAAGATATAGACCTGGTGTGCATAACTGAGACCTGGGTGTGAGATGGGGAGACAGTAGCTCTCTCCCAGTTGGCTCCTCCTGAGTTCTCAGTCCTTCATCAATCATGGACCAGGGGGTGGGGGGGAGTGGCTCTATTCATTCGGGAGACTTACTCCTTCAGGGCACTTCCGCCACTGAAAATCACAGGCATTTAGTGTGTTGGCCTGGCGAGGGAGGCCGGGGAGAGTTTGGCAATTTGGCTGGTGTACTGACTGCCCAACGCACCGACCAATAGCCTGCCATCCCTGATAGAGGCCATATCGGGCTGGGCATTGGAACACCCTAGACTATCAAGTCTTGGGCTATTTCAATGCCCATGCTGACAATGCGGCCTCTACTGAGGCAGCATATCTGGCGTCATCCATGGCAGCGCTAGGACTCTCCCAATATGTAACGTTCCCCACTCACCGGGCTGGGCACATGCTTGATTTGATCTCCATGGCGGGGTTTACAGTGGACCGGATCACTGCTTTAGCAGTGCCATGGTTGGACCACCTTGCCTTGAGGGTCCAACTTGAATGTGCCACCACAACCACCTGTGGGCAGCAAGCATATTTTGGCTCACCCGCAGAGCCAGATGGACCCTATGCAGCTTCAGATGGCTCTTTGGGATCTGATGCCCCCTGGCGGCTCATTAAATAAGCTAGTAGAGGATTGGCACTGCCGACTCTCTGCAGCCATCGAAGAGCTCGCTCCCCGACACCCTCTGTCCCCTCACTCTAAGCTTGCTCCATGGTATACCCAGGAGTTGTGGCTGATGAAGCGAAGGCTCAGGTGGCTCGAGAAGAGCATTGT